TCCAATCTGACTTTCTCATAGAAAGTGCAATTTCCTCTCATCACCATTGGGATGCTGTTTGGGAAGCCACCCTCAGGTACATCAGTGGGGGAGCACAGCACAGAGGTGGTGAGATCATACGTCTGCAGCCGTGCCTGAGGAAAACAATAAAGGGTGAATGAGTGGCAGCACTGTGATACTAAATTGCATCCAAATTGTAACTGCAGTTTCAGATACAGCAGGGGTTTTGTTGGAAAGGCTGCAATTCATTTGAAAGCCAACAGTAAAAGATTTGGGGTTTTCTATTTGTGTGTGTGTGTGTGTGTGTGTGTGTGTGTATAAAATAAATGTATATGTTATTTTTAATTATTTAAATTATTCATATATTTGCATTGCAGTAATGCAGAAATTAACTGAGGAGAAATGTGATTAAATGTTATTAAAATAATGTCCCAATTAAAAAAAAATTACTAATGGTACTAAAATAGGCTTAATTTTCACTAAACAAAATATAATTTTATAAAAGATAACTTACTTTTTCTTTTGATTTTAGGTTGAAATATGACCCAGACATTTTGTGAGATTCTCCCATCCATACCATAATGAAAATCTAAATGAACACTCAAGTTTAAAAACAAGAGAAACGAATCATTATAAATAATAGTCAGCACCAGTCATCAATCAATTTTATTCATCATCATATGCTATCTGGAAACCCAATCACACACAATATAAAAGCAAAGTTCTAATCAAAGCACCAATACTATTGAATTGCAGTCCATTATTCCTCAAGAGCTTGAAGCTCATCCTCACAGCTCAAACATTACGCCCCCCCGGCAGAATTCAACACCCCCTCAGGCTCAGATACCCCACAGGATCATGAAGGGTGGAAAAGGTGAAAAAAGTGCAGGATGCGACCTGGAAATCATTGTCAAGATTGTATTTATTGTGACTCCTTACTAACATTGTTAAGTGTAAGGATTTGCTCATATGTTGAAGGAAGTAGTAGCAGCAGCACATCTCATGAGGTTTGATTATGTCTCAGGCCAGGCATGAGCGCTTCTCTTACACAGTCTTGTGCAATCAGAAAGAGTTTCTAGAAAACAAAGTCCAAACACTTTGATCTCAAACTTAAGAGGTCCACCACACATAAAAATAACAGCTAAACACCAGCACTGACACAATGCACGTCAAACAACAAATTACAGAGTAAAACACGCCTAGATAATGAACCGTGCCTTGTTCATCTCCATACCTCATCCCTACTGATCAGAAATACCAAACTGACTGTGGCATGGATACAACACATTTAAAATTAATAATGGGCTGATCTGTATGTGTAACACGTAGCAGCGGTTGGAAAGCAATGCATGAAAGCTGCCCCCAGGTGCTGAGCAGAATATGAGCACTGGCACCTCTGCGGGTTCACACAAAGTGCTATGCATCTAATTGCTGGAGTGTCCACTCACAGTCGCCGTGTTTCTCCATGGCATACTAATGCACTCTCGGCTCCGCAAGCGATGAGTGCCAGTCTGGCCTTGTGGCCTCATGGTGTCTGTAGTGCTGATTAGCGGGGATTTTAGCCATTGCTGGAGAGCTGTGCAAACAGGACAAACAGACTCCTGAGTGTTTGCAGATCAGGTTATTGTTTAGATCTGCCGGCAATGGTCACAATGTTACTGTTTCAACTGAAGATGGTAGATCTGATGTATTGGATCAAGTAGGATTAGAAGATTGAGAAAGGATTGATATTGAGTTGAGTGTTTACTATTCTTAATTTTATATTTTGGTTTGGTTCAGTCGCACAATATGGCTGCCTATTTTTCCTTTGTAAACATTTTCTGCAAGTTGTTGTAACATATAATATCGTTGAAGATAATAAACACAATGATGAAGCTTCACCATCTTACTATAAAAAGTGTCTTTCTCCATTCAAAAAACAGCCATATCCAAGTAAAATTCTTTCCATGGAAGATATGAAAGATGTCTCATTGTTTTTGCCCATACAATGAAAGTCAGTGGGGTCCAAAACAACAATGTAAATGATGAAGGTCAGTAGAATTGTCATTTTTTTGGGTGAACTATCCCTTTACGGCACACAGATTAAATTCATGCATCAATTTTGTTTAATCTGAAGGGAAATAAGGAAGCATTCTGAAGCTTGAAAGGGGAAACAACAGTCGGTTAAAAAAAGAATCCATATGACACATATTGCTTAACCTCTTGAAAAAGATAGCCTTTCTCTTCAACTGACTGCTCTGGTAAGTACACTTTCTGATCTGTTATACAATTACACAACCGTTCAAAAGTTTGGGATCAGTCAGTTTGTTTTAATTAAATACATTTTTTCCAGTAAGGCACAATCAATTTATCAAAAGTGACAATACACTAAACAAAAGAACAAATGTCAGTTTTAATCATACTAGTCAAAGCTATGATTGCCTATGTTCCCTAAAATAGAAGTTGCAATTGCTTAATTTCAAGTTCAACAACAGATCTATATTTAAAGCAGCACTATATAACTTTTTCTGTGTTCAAAATTTGCTAAATGTATATAATGAGCGAGTACATCACGAATTCATCTTCCAAACAGCGTTTTTGTCTTATTCCGAATCACTACGGTACACTTATAATAAGTACTTATATTTGGACTATTGTAGCCTGGTCGGGTCGTCACCGCTGCGGAGTAACACATACCTGCGTGAATCGCCATAGACATAAACTTAGAGAAGTAGCTCCGGTTGGAATGTTCTTCCGCGGGATGTGTGCAGTTCTGTTTATTAACCGCTAGAGCGCCAGACAACGTAATGCTGCTTTAAAGACTTGACTGCTATGTCAGTTTTTACATTTTCATGGATATGTCGTGAATCTCATGAGAACATGTTTCTGATCTGTTATACAACTACACAACCGTTCAAAAGTTTGGGATCAGTCAGTTTGTTTTAATTAAATACATTTTTTTTCCAGTAAGGCACAATAAATTTATCAAAAGTGACAATAAAGAGTGAAGACATTTATAATGATGCAAAAGATTTCTATTTCAAATAAATGCTGTTCTTTAGATCTTTCTAGTTATCAAAGAATCCAAGATTTCCATAAAATATTAAGCAGTAAACTGTTTTAAATATTGATAATAATTATAAATGTTTTTGAGCAGCAAATCAGCATATTAGAATGATTTCTGAAGGATCATGTGACACTGGAAACACTGCTGAACATTCAGCATTGCATCACAGGAATAAATACATTTAAAATATATATCAAAATAGTAAAAAGTTATTTTAAACTATAAAAATGTTTCACAATATTTCTGTTTTTGCTGTTTTTCATCAAATAAATGCAGCCTTGGTGAGCATAAATATAATGATGTTGAATCAACAATAAACTGACTTTGACTGGTTTCTACTGTCCTCTTGCATTATATCAGCACACGTTTTTCCTGTTTAACACTGTAAAGCTGCTTTGACACAATCTTTATTGTATAAAGCACTATATAAATAAAGGTGACTTGACTTGATACTTCTTTCAAAACTCTCAGTGCAGTTCTCCTGGCCTCCCTCTCCTTTTCATGACATTACTGGTACTCAGTCAGTCTCACTTCCACTGTAACTTTACTTCTAACTTCAACTGTTCTCGGAGCAGCCTCAACTCTGATTGGTTCTGTTCACTAGCTGGGGTGGGACCTGCAATTTTATTGGATCCCTCTCCTTTTTGTAGCAGACTGAGCAGAAATAATTAATAACCATCAGACTAAAGCATTATTATGGAGGGAAGAGAGAAAATATTTGGAAAGCATTTTAAACTAAATTGCTTTTTTTTTAGGTTTTCATTAAACTCTCAGGCATACAAGCTGACTTTGTAATAGGCCTACTAAAATTATTCATATAAGTAGGGGAATAAATAGCATAACTACTGGATTTAGTGGGCCCCCTGGGCAGAGGGGGACCTATAATTATCACCCCCTTTCACCGGCCCTGCTTGGCTGCCAGGTTACATCCATGTCGTGCAAACCATTCTTGTTATATTTACAATGGCTGGATTTTATCTGGACATACCTTGAATACCCAATTTGGACAACTTCAGAAAGTATCTAATAATACATTCTCTTATTCACAGGAGTCCCCACAATCTTAAGAAAATGATACTTGTGTTTATTTTGATATGTACTCTCCACTCATCTCAAGGCCTCAACTGGGCTTGGCGAAAGCTTCCATGTGATGTGACACTGTCCAACAGCTCCGTCGCCTTGGACTGTTCGGGAAGATCTTTGAAACAAATTCCGAAAAACCTGATCTGGAATACAACTGAACTAGACTTTGCAGATAATAAAATAAGATACCTCCCAAAGGATGCCTTCTGGAATCTGACTAATGTTACATGCATAAACCTCAGAAAGAATCAGATTGAAAAATGCCTTGAAAAAGATCATGGGATTTTTTCAAAATTGGCTAAACTGAAGAATTTGCTACTCGATGATAATATGATTACAGCATTTCCAAGAGACCTCCCTCCTGGACTGCAAAGGCTGAGCCTCAATTCCAACCGTATCAAGACAATTGGACCATCAGATTTTGCTGGAACAAAGAAACTCAAAGTTTTGTCATTAAACAGGAACTGCTATCATAATGTCAATATAGAACTGACAATTCACAATGAAACATTTCAACAATTAAATCTAACTGAGCTAGAACTGTCCAAAAATGGACTAAAAAAAATACCATCTGCTTTACCCAGATCCCTCCGCAAACTTTCACTTCTCCTAAATAGGATTGACTGTGTTCATGCCTCTGACCTGAACAGCCTAACAAACCTGAGAGTTCTTGATTTATCTGGAAACTGCCCTTTTTGTTTCACCGCTCCATTCCCATGCACTACCTGTCAGACAAATAATAACGCTCTACAGATTCATCCAAATGCTTTTAGTGAACTATCCAAACTACAAGACCTACGACTGTCTGGAAATTCTTTACAAACGATCAACACATCATGGTTCCGGAACCTTACTATGTTAAAGTATTTGTATCTTTCCTTCAACTCATTGATAAGTGAATTTGAAAGAGGACAATTCTTCAGTGTCCTACCGCAATTGGAAGTTGTAGATTTCTCATACAATAATCCGTCTCAAACATTTTACCCAAGATTGAAACTCTCGAAAGGTTTTGCTAGTTTGGAATCACTACAAACACTTCACCTAGAAGGCTATATTTTCCATAATCTTTGTGAGGAAGATCTCCAACCTCTCTTTGGTTTGAGAAACCTATCCGTTCTAAACTTGGGAGTCAACTTTCTCCAACATGTCAATCTATCAGTGTTCAAGAACTTTCACAACCTCTCTTTGATTTCATTGATTGACAACAGACTAACATTCACAAGTCCTATTTGGAGACAGGAGTGCAGAAGTGATGTTCTTTCTGATGACAATGAAGGAGACCGCCGTGAAGGCCCCTACATTCACACAAATGAACAGTTCCGCCATTATCCTCCATTTACCAAAGCCGAATGTCTGGCAACAGGACCAGTTTTGGACCTCAGCAGGAACAACATTTACCATATCAATCCAAATTTCTTCACAGGAGCAGAGAACATAACTTGCCTCAATCTTTCCTCCAACTTCATTGCTTCCTATTTCAATGGTACAGAGTTTACTCACTTTCCCAAGCTAAAGTACCTAGATTTGTCTCACAACAGAGTCTACATGTGTTTGGATTCTGCTTTAAATGAACTGAAAGAATTAGAAGTTTTGGATTTAAGTCACAACAAACATTACTTTGAGGTGGCGGGTGTCAGGAACAGTCTGACGTTTCTGGAAAACCTTCAGTTCCTCAAAGTGCTCAATCTCAGTTGGAATGAGATTAATTCGCTAACCAACAAGACTCTGAAGAGCGACTCGCTGAAGGAACTGCAGTTTCAAGCCAATCGACTGGATATAATGTGGAAGAAGGACCGTGGATTCAAAGGTCTTTTTAAGTCTCTCTTAAACCTAACTCACCTTGATATATCACTTAACAAGCTTAATGAAATACCAGATGATATATTCAGCTTTTTTCCAAAGACAATAAAATATCTTAGCATGAGCAGGAACACACTTGCAGATTTTGAGTGGGAACAGCTCAAATATTTACCCCAGTTAGAGACTCTGGATCTAAGTAAGAACAAACTCAGTAAAGCCACTAGAAAACTATCAAAATATACAAGTTCGTTGAAGGTCTTAGACTTGAGCCATAATCTGATCTTCAAGTTGCATCACAGCTTTCTCAAAGATGTCAAAAGCCTGCTGATCCTCAGTCTTGCTTTCAACCGCTTGCAGCACATCAGCGACGCATCCTTCCAGACAGGTAGCGATCACTACCTACGCATACTAAACCTGCATAGAAACCCTATCCACTGCACCTGTGACCTTCTGGACTTCATTCTCTGGTTAGAGAAAAGTGAGACAGTCCTTCCTCATCTAGCAACGGACGTTTTGTGTGACCTTCCGGAATCCAAAAGGGGACATCCAATGGTCAGTCTGGACTTTAAAAACGCCTGCATCAACAACAGTATTGCTCAAATCCTATATGTACTCACCTCATCCATCATCACTGTCATGATGTCTACAACGATCATGATACATGTGTTCTACTGGGACATATCATACATTTATAGTTTCTGGAGAGCCAAAATAAGAAGTTATTACTTGAAGACGAATGACTGCACTTATGATGCCTTTGTAATGTATGACACCAATGATCCGATGGTGGCAGAATGGGTACTGAACCACTTGTGTTTTGAACTGGAAGATAGAGGAAGACGAGTTCGTCCACTCTGTCTGGCGGAAAGAGATTGGACTCCTGGTATACCGATCATGGATAACCTGAACAAGAGTGTAAACCAGAGTAGGAAGACGATATTTGTGCTGACGGAGGGATTTGTTCACAGTGGGATTTTCATGATGGCAGCTTTCCTAGCACAACAAAGGCTGCTGGAAGAGGGCGTGGATGTGATGGTGCTGGTCTTGTTGGAACCCGTTCTTCGGCAGTCGAGAATCCTAAACTTGCGGCGCTGCCTGTGTGCACATAGTGTGCTGGAGTGGCCCAGGAACCCAGCGGCAGAAGGCTTTTTCTGGCAGAGTCTGAGAAACGCAGTCAGGTTTGAGAGTCAAGGTGTGCAAAGTAAAATGTTTACAAATTACTTCAGTGGATGATAAACTGGTACAAAATGAGTAGTTTCGGTTGAAACACTCCTGCTGTTGAGATGCTTTCTTGGATTCCTTCTCCTGAACTGTTTGTGATAACAGTGTTGAGGAACTTTTTACATTTATTTGTATTTGTAAATGTATTGTTTAAAATTGGTACATTATTAAAGTAAAGAGTTAAGTCAAAAATCTATATAGGCTAATGCATTTTTAAGGAAAGTAATTTAAGTTATTTTTGTGTTATTTTTTCTGCTGCCTAAAACACTTTTTTCAGAGCAGAAATAGGATTGAAAGTTTTCTGCCATCAGTATGAGACACACTCTCTAGAACTACATTAGCCATCTTAAATATATAGCTATTTTTATCTACATGGGGGACATTGTATTGTACACTAATGTAACACTCATTTCCACGTTAGTTTTTATCCCATGAAACCAAAGTGCAATGAGTTTTTCACCATTCTGTCTGTAAAGTAATCCCCACCAATGCAGTCACTTCCCTCTTAAACTAATTTTATCAACAACTTCCCATTAGTCTCAGTTATGGTGAGTCACTTTTGTACAGAACATACTCTGATGTACTTTATCACTCCAGAGAGGGATACAGCGTGGTGACAGATTTTTATCAGTGCCTTTTGTGGACTCACATAGTTATGATACACAAAAATACAGTTACTCCAGCTCTCTACGTCCTTCCCTTTTTCATCTTTTATTCATCATGAACCCAGTGATGAAAAATTCATGACTCCAGGCAATGAAATGAATGCAAAATGAAAACTGTGGGCGTACTGTGGGCGTATAAAAAAAGGGTGAGAGAAAGAATGTCTCTATCTAGGGTGACGCTGGCACAAGGTGCGGATCACGGCGAGGGCAGTGGGTTCTGAAGAACAACTCTCTGCTGACTCTTTCTATGTTAATAAAGTAGATGAACTTCTGATGGACCCGTTTCATTTCTAGCATTACGAGAACCTGGGCAACTACACTGTGTGCTTGCTGAATAATATTGTAGCTTAATATGAGCTTAACTAACTAAACATCACTCCTCTACTGAAGGCCAACCATGAGAAACAAAGCAAAAATAATATGCTTTACAACTTAGAACCCAAAGTGCATCGCATGGAATACCATTACTTTCATGAATAAATTAAGTAAACCTAGAGTTCCTTAAATGTTACTACAAAAAATTATCAATAGTAAAGGCAAGGGGAAACAAAGTGTACAGTGAAAAAATGGTGTAGAAACAATTTTCACTCAGAAATTACTATTAAAGGCACAATATGTAAGATTTTTTTATTAAAATATCCAAAAACCACTAGAACAGAGTTATACAATTTGCTGACTTGTGTACTTATACTATCCCAAATGTTTCGAAGAATGTTTAAATCCAGAGAAATAAGCAATTTTAACTAGGCACACGGACCGTGTCCATAGTGTCATTGTGTCGCCTGCCAATGACGTCATAACCCCTCGATTTCTGGTTTTGTTTTGTAGAAAACATGGAAACACCAAAGACGCTTTAATATGTTGTGTGTTTTAATAGACCGGTGACGACCGCATTCTAACATAGCATTATAACAGAACTTTCAAATGTATCTATGATAAAACAGCGCTGCTTTGTTTTCCCCACATACGCACGACCGGAAGGAGCGGAAGCGGTCGACTGTGGCATAATAAAAGCTCCGCTGCTTTCGAGCCTTGTGTGTCGCGCTCGTTCAGCGGCCTCGTTTCGCTTCGACGGCTTTCAGCCTCACCCTGCTTTATTCTACTACGTTAATAAAGCATTAGCTCATCCATGAACATGATTTCTGCCCGAGTCCCGTCGGATTGCATCGGCTTTGGGGATGAAGACGACAACTCCCATGATTCCACACTCAGTCACGGCGTCATCAAATTACGCCTTTGTCTATTTGTTTATTTTGAATACGCGCCCTCTAGTGGTGAACATATTGTGCCTTTAAATTTCACAAACAATTACATAAGAAGTGGCCAGTAATGCATTGAATCATAATAACATTTGAATAAACCACATTCAATTTGTAAATGAAAATGTTCATTTAATGTGATATGGCCTAGGCTATATCTAGACACACTGAAATTCTGAGTTTTCAATAGCATGCTGCCGTACTAGGCCAACTCATACAATTTAGTATGAAATATGTAACACCAACAAAGCAATATAGCATACTAATGTTTAAAACGTATTGTAAAACGTATACTGCATACTGTTAATAAACCAACACTTAACAGTATGCAGTACGCTAGCATTCGATTTCGAACATAACCATTGTTTGTTGCCTGTGCTTACCTTGTCTCACTGTGGTGGATGGGCCTGTATGTACACACAAAGGTCGTCTGAAGAAATGAGGCTGATGGAGGACAGATCCGTTCTAGGCATGTCATGATAGGCCTACATGTAGCCTTTAGAGACGGTTGGTCTTCAGTGATGCCAAGCAGGCAAGTGTACCTCGCATGGGGTTGTTTCAAAGGGCGGAAATACTGCAGTATTGATTTGGACATGCCTGGATATACTCCTTTGCTCAAGCTTACAAATTAATTGTCACATTTTGCATGTGACTCAGATTTCGATATGCTGAACTCACGCCAATTTAGAAAACTGACGCGAACCTGACAACAGCGTTATCGCAAAGTAAAAAGTCATTTTGTTTTTCAAATACTCAATAGACGACCGCAGCTATGAATAATGCTCATAATTTTAAATTTTTAGTTTTAAATAGTTTTAAATATAAAGCAGCCGGTGCCAAACGGGTATTTATAACGAAATAACATTTATTTCCATAACATAACTACAAACAGGCTTCACACGATGAAATCACCATTTTAAAATAAATTATTCGTAATAACCTTTTGTTTTTTTTGAGATCTTGAGGTGATGTTTTTATATGTCTGTTATGTATTAATTTTTAAACACTAAATAAACTTTTAAAATTAATACATAACTATATTAGAATGTTTATTTACTTTTTTTACTATATATATATAATATCTGTACAGGCTACAGACCATGTAAGTCAACACGTCAAACGGTGATGTTGCTATTTTATAAAATAAAAAATAAAAATAAAAACGTTTTTTAGATCTTAAGATAAGAAGTTTTTATATTTCTCTGGGTAAAATTTTAAGTACTAAAAAACCTTCAGAAATTATTTATATTTATGTAACTATATTATAATGTTTTTCATTTGTATAACTTTTTTGCTATTTATGTATTATAAATATGTACAGGCTACAAACCATGTAAGTCAACCTTCACATGATGACATCATCGCTATTTTAAAATAAAATCAATCATAAGATCTTTTGAGATCTTAAGATAATATATTTTATATGTCTTTTATGTAAAAAAATTTTTACAACTTTGGACATTATTTATATTTTCTATATATTATAGTGTTTTTTTTTTTTACATTTTCCTATAAAACTTTAATCATACATTTTTTTATCTATTGTAACAGTTTTAGCTAATATTTTAGAACTTTTTCATAGAATTTTACAAACGCTTCTTAGATAATTGATACATAAATAGATATATGAACGTAAAGAACTTTTTTCTTGTAAAATGTAGCTATTTCATAGAGCTCAAGGGAGGTCTGTGTCTGTGTATTGTCTGCATATGCAGCCGTACAGTACCGAGCCCCAGGGATCGTAGACGTCACACACTCCCTGGAGCTCAGGGCCAGCTGTCAGTATGCAGATGCCGGTCCCACAGGAACCCACACTGGCCCCAGCGGTGGATGCATGGAGCCAACCAGCGCACAGCTTCTGTGTAATGAGACGGGGCCTTTTGCTGACAGTCCACCCCTGAGTGAATACTGTGCCTGACATACAGCCACAAGCGTGATGGTTGTTGTTTGACAACTCCCTCGTCACGAATTCAGAATATTTGCACAAACAAAATGCTCGCACTCTATTCATTACCATTGTTCGTAAGTTGCCAGGACTCCTTCTGCTGGTGCTGTGGAGCTTTGGGGCCCAACGAGACTTGAATGAGCGTGAACCCCACTGTAGTGTGAACATGAGTGTGTGTGTGGTCCTCCTGTTTTTTTTTTAAGGTTGCATTATTAAAGAAAACATGCTAGTGGCTAATTAGCCGTAGTTTGATGCGCCCCCTCTCTTCTCATCACTGAGTTAGCATCTCTCTGGTAAACTGATTGCTTGCGTTGAGTTTCGAGCCGTTTCGCTGACATTGACCCTGCCACAACGCTCCAGATGCCACGCTGAGACGTGACTGGAAAGGCAGAGCAGGAGCGTGGAAGCTCTTTTTCATTTCATTGGTTCATCAGCGGGCCAATGAAATCACAGAACACAGAAACCCCAATGCATGACTAATTTGTTGTGCCTTCACAGCTAATTTTGCCCTATTTTATGTCATTATTGTGTTTAGTTTCTAGTTGATGCTGTGATGTGACATTTAAAAATGTTTGTTTACTTATTAACTTAAGTATTATTCTTCTTGAACATACGGACTTTTAAATTTAATACATGGGTGAATTTCAAAAATTCTGTCAGACCGGCTAATATTTTACCCCAAAATTGAAAAATAAGAAATTATATTTTGCGTAAAAAAAAAAAAAGCCCATTTTAAAGCTAATATTATTTAGAATGTTTTCATTATTGTCAATTAATGTCAAATAATACCCCCAATTTTCATTACCCCATGATAAAACCTCATTCTCATTACTGTAAAAGATATATTATTTGAATTGTAAAATATGCATCATTGAAGTGTGTCTTCGCAGAATAATTAATATGTATTCTAATAAAAGAAAAATCTTTATTTTCCCCCAAAACAGTATTACAGCAGGTTTATTATAGTTAGGGAACTAAAACTAAAACTGAAAATAAAAAGCATTAAAAAAAATTGTTATAAAATAAAATTTAACTGAAATAAAAAATGTTAAATAAAAAAAACATTTCTCATTTTAATTTAGTTTACCTTGATGTACTAAAATAACTAAAAATGAAACTGAAATAAAAAATGAATAATAAACT